CACTAGGCAATGTCCCTGCAGAGCGTATTAAACGGCAACCGATGGGACCCCATCCAGACTAGCTGAGCGGCAAGCACTCAATCCACTAAGCCACCGCGCATTATAATCAGCTCTTCACATATACAGCACTGCCAAAGAGCCCCTCAACTATGCATACGTGTGGCTCTCTCTTCGGCCTTTTGTGGTAACCTTGTTCTGTAAGAATGGGACAAATACAAAAGGAACTAAATAATAACTTATGATTAAAACCACATTACACTGCCTAGACATAAAACGCTTCTTTGGCAATGCTGTGTGTTCGTGTTGATGGTGCTGTATGTTCGTGGTGATGGTGCTGCGTGTCCGTGTTGACGGTGCCGTGTTGATGGTGCTGCGTATTCGTGTTGACGGTGCCGTGTTGATGGTGCTGCATATTCGTGGTGACGGTGCCATGTTGATGGTGCTGCGTATTCGTGTTGACAGTGCCATGTTGATGGTGCTGCGTATTCGTGTTGACAGTGCCGTGTTGACGGTGCTGCGTGTCCGTCTTGACGGTGCCGTGTTGACAGGGTTGCGTGTCCGTGTTGACGGAGCCATGTTGGTGGTGCTCCATGTTCGTGGTGATGGGGTTGCGTGAGATGCGATAGTGGAGCTCGTGGAGGCCGGGGCGCTCGGGGTCCCGCCCCACGCAAATGAAAACATTGCTCGGCCGGCCAGCAGCCGGGCCTCCTTGCCGCATTTTACATAACAAGGGCCGTGTGGAAGTGCTGACGGCACCGGAGCCCAGTAATAGCCCCTTCCTGTTTGTACAACACGCGCGGGGGGGCGGCCGTGCCGCTGGCCGCGCGCTGTTTTGTTGCCGAGGTCTCCCCCGGTTCCCATGTTTTGTGTCGAAAACGTCTGCGACCCCAATCTCGCTCCAGCGGCCGCGACCCTTCAGTCATTATGCACTCCCCTTTTGTTTTTGCTTGTTTTGTTTCTTTATTTACAGTAATGTACGTGTTTTTTAAAGACCTATTTACAATAATAAACCTTTGTCCTTAGAATAACATCTACGAGTACCATACGGGTCATTTCCATCGTGTGGGCACCTTTAGTTACAATGTTCGTATTGATATTTTGCGTAGATTGACAGTGATAATAGCATTAATCTCGCACCTTTCTGTAGTGAAACGCCCGCAAGGCGCCTTGCAATATCCTGATTATTTCTACTGCTATACAATTAATCACACGGCAATTTGGCCACGCTCCGTGCGTTTCCTGCTCATGAGCCACGCTGCTTTTAAAATTCCTGATGAGAGTGGCGTTTTGTGCCCGAACTTTGGAGCTAATTTGACAAAAGCTCCATCACCAGCGCCAGCCACATGGGTTGGCATAAGGCTGGCGCAGCTCCGGTGCAGAGATCGGCGCGTGCACTACGGCTACTTGGATTGTTGCATCGCAGCGGTGTGGTGGGGAGGTCTTGATCCTAGCAGTGCCAATGGAGTGTGGTTCATGTTAATGATGATGATGAAGATGATGATGATGCTGCTACGGCATTAAATCTGTAGACAGTTTGACACAGGCTTTCGCGACCAATATTATTCATAATGAACGTTTTTTCTGGTTAGATCATGTAAGTATAAATGTGTCATTAACCCACCACCATCTGACACAGCCTCTTAGTAAGGTTTGTCATGTAAACAAAACATGCCAATTAGTTACTACTTCAGCCCACCAGTGTGTTGGAGAGTAAATCCACAACATTTACAATTTTAGTACAACGTTTCGCTGGTAATTAAATCCAGCATCATCGGGTGGGTTAACAACATTTATACTTAGGCACTCTAACGCAAACAAAATCTTAATTATGAAATCTGTAGACGCATGCGTCGGGTGGTGGATGCACGGCCGCTAACCTGCGGTAGACGCAGGGAAACTTCCTGGGGGTATAGTGGAGGTGATTGGTCTCGCGTGAGTGAGGTTTGTTGAGGTGCTGTGGAGGCCTGATGCTGAGGCCCGGGTGCCAGTGTCACGCGCTGTGCTCTGTGTGAATGCTGTGGAAAAAAATACTAACCACATCGCTTTCGGAATTGTAATTTGTTTATGACAACGTAAATTGTATAACATAACGAACAGCTACCTATAATCTTAGCTCTTTCGGTAAAGTCACGTCCTTTCACTGGAAAAACCACCTCTGCGGTACAAAATTCTACTCACCTGGTATCAACAATCAAGGGTATTTCCCTGTCCCCAGACGACCTGCTTGTCAGTTTTGATGTAGTTTCCTTATTCACCAAAGTTCTTGTACCTGACACCATCGCAATCATTGAAGACTTGGTTCATCAAGGACTAAACACTGAGGTACCCTCCCTGGTGAGACACTGCTTAACCAATACATACTTCACTTGGAATGGAACTTTCTACAAACAAACTGAGGGCACCCCAATGGGCTCCCCCTATCTCCGGTTATAGCTAACATTTTCATGGAGAAATTTGAGATTGACGCCATCCAGACTGCCACTCTGCGCCCAACCTTATGGAAGAGGTACGTGGATGACACTTTTGTCATCTGACCTCATGGCCAGCCCGCTCTAGACCAATTCTTCGACCACATCAATTCCATACACCCAGCCATCAGATTTACCATGGATGTTGGAAAAGATGGCAAGCTACCTTTTTTGGATGTCCTAAAAAAAGAGACCTGATGGTTCAATGAGCCACTCTGTCTACAGGAAAGCTACCCATACGGATGCTTATCTGAAACCGGATTCCCACCACCATCCATCACAGAAGAATTCTCTCATCAAGACTCTGTACCATAGAGCCCAATGCATATCCGACCAGGAACACATAGGCAGTGAACTCAAGCACGTACACCAAGCTCTTAAGGCTAATGGTTACTCCGACTATACAATCCGCAAAGCTATCACTCAAACCATGAAGAAGGACCCTCTTGAGGAGCCTTTCAAAACCATCACTTTACCCTACATTGCGGGGATCACAAAAAAGATCTCAAATCTTGAATAAACACAAGATCCAGGTCCGTTTCAACACATTACATAAAATCCGTGATCTGGTTCCGTCTGTAAAAGATGTGATTCCGGACATACAGTACCCTGGTGTCTACAAACTAAGTTGCCTCTGTGGTAGTAGTTACATTGGAGAAACCAAACGCCATGTCTCGGACCGCATTCGTGAACACAAAGTAGACCTTAAACACGGTAGGACCAACACCTCGGCCGTGGCAGATCATTGTTATAATTCAGTAGGCTCACATGACATTGACTTTTCCAAGACAGAGGTTCTTTGTAAGCCATCTGGCTACCATGAGAGATTCGTTCATGAGGCTATCCACATATACAAGCACAGAGACAATTTCAACCGAGAAGATGGATTCTGGCTTAGCAATCATTGGAAGGATTTGATAAACCATTTTAGGTCTTAATTGATTGTTCACGCTTATGGTGGCTTTCAGACAGCATACATTAATTTTTCGTCTCCCCCCTCCTCTTTTCAGAACATAGATGGACTCGTCCTTCTAAACAAACTGCCAAATCGCTGCCCGTGGCGCAAACGTTGTTTAAATAAATAAATAAAAACGCCGTTCGTAAATAATTTAATGCAGACCGCCACTTCTTTCAAATGTTTTTTGCCGTTGCTTTTCACACCTGATGATGACCGTTTCTGTTATGGTCGAAACGTCGTGAGAATTTTTATTGTTTTATATATTTTTTATTATTTTATTGTTTCCCTTCAACGTGACTTTACCGAAAGAGCTAAGCATATGAATTACTGCAGTCACGAAAGCTTTAAATCAAAATTTGAACAGCTACCTGTTTTCATCGTAGGACCCCCCCCCCCTCCTCTTTTCCCTCCCAAATTCCCTGACCCCTACCCTTGTATATTTTTTATGACAACAACATTTATACGGCAATCAAATGCCTCGGCAACTCTGAACAGCACCTTGTGTCTCATCACACATTTCAAAGGGGACCCCGGGTGGCAGCTGTTGCTGTGCTACACAGAATTGCTCGGGCACTGGCCTAGAAGTGGGCACTGGCCTAGAAGTGGGCATTAGCTTCCCAGCAGGAAGAGATAACTCCAACCTGCAATCCCGGTTGACTAACTTTGTGAGTTTATTTCAAATTTGGGCTTTGGCACCAGCACACAATGAAAGGCCCGCTCGTCTCGAATGTCGTCACCGGATCTTTATTGTCCACTGTTAAACGGAGAGCTCGCTGTGATTTACGGTATGTTAACTGTAAAGCACAGCGAGCCGTCCGTGGTAACCAGGGTGGTAACCAGGGTGCACCTAGATTTGAACAACATACCTATAACATACCTGAAGGCCGATCGGGTCTGTAGGCATCAGAATTCAAGTGTCATGCGATTAGTTCATAGCAGAGGTTCGGACTTCCAGCTTGCTGCTATTCAGCTAATGCTGAACAACTGGACAGCCTCGACTTGGACAATTTCCTCTCATCGCATCTCTTCAAAAGCTGAAGCGTGTTAACTGCTGTTTGTTGCTGACCTCTTGAGATCTTGGGCCTTTGGGCCTTTGCTCAATGGCTGTTTAAAGAAAATCGAATCAAGTGTCAAGAGACGGGAAGTACGGAGGTCTTTATCTGGGCATTACATTGCACCAGTCAGAACGCTCCAAAGGGCATTCATATGGCAGGAAAGCAAAGGTGCAGGAGAAATGTCTTGCACTTGTGTAAGAACTTCTATGACATAGGTACAGAGAGCTGGTGGATTAGTGGCTATATACAAATATATTTATGATTTTTTTGGAAACCATGAAGCATTTGCATCAGTGTTTTTGAAAATTGATGTGCAGTAGTTTAGCTGTGCAATCCATTGAAAGGATCTCAAAGACGAGTGCCATTTCAGTGTGGAGCAGTACAGCTTTAATGGGTGCCCGTGCCAATGTGGGTGGGTTTTTGTCGGTGCATCCGTGCTATGGAAAAGGGCAGCCCCTCACTGCAGACTGCGCTCGTGTTACTCACCGACCCGTGCGCGTGTCCACATGTGCTTTGCAGACAAAGAGACGCTGATCACGGACAGCGGCAAGCTCTACGCGCTGGATTGCCTGCTATGCCGTCTCAAGATGCAGGGCCACCGCGTCCTCATTTACTCCCAGATGACTCGCATGATCGACCTGCTGGAGGTAGTGATGCGCGCTCACTCACTCGCTCGAGTGTCTTCAGTTTGTTGGCTCATTGCTGTATCTGGCTGCTGTAATGGGGCGATCGTACAAACAAAATGTGTGGGGAAAAGGAGGACGATGTCAACACAAACATGTAAACGAGCCAAGCCTGCCCTTCTTACCGCACTGCTGCACCATGGTTCTGCGTGCGAAGGGGATTAACATCGGCTGAAGAGATTGTTAGTCTCCTCAACAATTAAGATGCTCTGGCAAGTCTATTCGACGTGCGGTGTCTCATCAGCAGTCGGTCTTGCTTAAACCAACGCTGGCGTTCCGCAAGCAAGGACCCCCTATGTTGTGTATGGGTCATTGTTGGTTTAAGCGAGCCTGACTGATGATGAGACGCAGAATGTCTAAACCGGTCCAGACTTGTATAAAACGAATAGTGCTGAGAAAAAAAAACTCTCAGAAGGCTTCGTAGCTGTAGGGATTTGTAAAAAAAAATACTGACATTTTTTTAAGTGGAGAGATGAATATGTGCAGGAGGCGTATTGTCTTCTTAGTTATTTTCGTAATTTTATTCTCCACAATGATGCTCATGAGTGGTTTGCGTTCACTCTTTTGATAGAGCACAACACTTGCTCTGCTGACCACAGGCACCGAGTCAGATGATGGCTGGGGAATAAAATCAGCAGTGAAAGCGGACTCGCCTGACATGACGCTGTTTTGTATATCATAATTGTCTACGCTTGGTATCCCAGCGGTTAACACACCCTTTACGACGGCCGTGTTTTACACATGCAGTAAGGGATTCCATTCCTGCCGCGGCCGTTTGTGGGGAGTTTCTGGAATGGATGTTGAATTCTTTGCCACGTCTACGTGGCCACGTCATTGGGTTGCTAGTGTTCAAGGCCAGATTGCCGTGGTTTAGCTAAACAAAAATGCTTCTGACACTCGCCTTGTATGGTAACCCACATCTCCCTCACAAAATATTCATCGCATATCGATGGTGCCCTCCTGGGTCTAAATCAGGAAACCGGTCACATGCCCCACCCCAAGGCTGTTGTACTCTTCCTGAACTTGGGTCAGTGCTTAACGTCTGTTAAGGGGCCGTCCATAAATGACGTCACGCGATTTTGGCTGATTTTTGACCCCCCCTCGTCACACAGCGTCACAAAAAGTCAGACCCCCTTCAAATATGACGTCACAAATCTCTGCCCCCCCCTGCCTAAAACTATATTTATACATTTTGAAAATAAAATATGCTTCAAACCACTTTAAACTATTGTCATTGTAGTGCGTATTTAATGTGGCGCTGCACTCTTGATGTTGTAAGAGAAAACGCGTATAAAAAGGAGGCGTTGGAAAGCTGAAATTTAGCATAAAATTAACTTGAAAATATTCAACGTCTAACTAAAACTGCAGATGTTCAGAATATTATATTGAAATTCTTTTCTAAGTATCAAATATTAAAAGTAATTATAACTATAAAAAAATACTTGAAACTTTGTAGTAGAACGAAGCAAAATGGAGAGTACAATTATAATAATCACATATTCATTCCACAGAATGAAAAGCCCTGGTAGAATCAGAATCAAAATGTTGAATAACAATCATTCAAAAAAGTTTAAGAATGTATGCTTCATTCTCCCATGGAGAAGCAAAATGCTCCTTCATGGAATAAAACAACTATTGTTTTTTGCGCATAAAATACTAAATCGTGCACACGATATACTGAATTGTGAGTGGTGTTAATTTTTTTTTCCATAAGGGAACGCCGTAGTTAAATTAAAGATCCTAAATGGTTAAATTCAGTCACTCATGGTTCATAGTCGGACAATGCTGAAAAAGAAGCATGACGCCATTTTCTGGGTACAAAGAACAAAAATATCACGGAGGAATAATGAATCATGGAGGACGCGGTGGGCTATTGTACGCTTGCCGAATGACGTCTATTTAGTAGGTACTCTATGATTACGCTTGCCGAATGACGTTTAGTTAGTCGGCACTCTATGATTCATTATTCCTCCATGCTCAAAAATGGCTGTTTGATATCTTTGTACCCAAAAACTTTTCTTTCTGTATTATTATAAATGTTTTCGTAACAATAATAGTATAAAAATGTCATACTGATATTAAAATTAATATTTAATAAACAAATATGTGTGATTAAAAATTCTGTCGATTGATATTACAGGAATAATAGTACTTACGTTAAAAAATATATTATTTGAAACTATCAAGCGTTTTTAATATGACTTCATAAAATTTGTATTTGCACTTTCTGACGAAGTATTATTCTCTATAAAGATGTGACGTAGTTTGACTTCCGGTTCTTATGTTTAACATCATAATATCATCTATACTATACATAATTTTAAATTATCAAAAAGTTAATAATGGAAAATTAGTGTTATAACAATTCTATTTAATTAAGTAGAATGTGTTGTTTATATTTATTTAAAGTTGCGCATCTTGATGTGAGGTCACATTTCTAAAACCCCCCCTCGTCACACATTGTCACAAATGTCTGACCCCCCTAGGTGCGTGATGTCATTTATGGACAGCCCCTAAGTACCCATTGAAAACCCTTGTGATGGGACCAAGTGTAACCACAGAATTTAAACTGGCGTCTCCTACCAAATGTTCCCATCAGGGGTTATTCATTAGACTCAGTTCAACCTTAATCGTACTTTGAACTCTTGACATGGTGATTGCGAGCCTACCACACACCAGTTGATCAAAGATCTTCCCGTACATATATGCAATATACCCCTGCTTCACGTAAATATACACTCCTGTGTAGTTTTTAACAGTGGGGTTCTGAGTTGTTTCATCTTCTGTCACCGAACCCAGTGGTGTTGCAATATCTAGAGGGCCTGGACTTTGACCGAGCCGAACGGAGTCTTCGTTGTTGATGGCGCCGCTTGTTCCGTCCCGCGTGGTGCAGGAGTACATGGTGTACCGTAACCACACGTACATCCGCCTTGACGGCTCCTCAAAGATCTCCGAGCGCAGGGATATGGTGGCCGACTTCCAGACCAGGTACCCCCGTCGTATCCTCGTTACCAGTCTCCCTACGAAGTGCTGTTTTTACTTGTGAAGCACCCTAGGGATGGATTGATGTTGCCATTTCACTCGCGTTAAAGCGCTCGCGCATTGGCGGAGCAGCGCGCTGAGTGTACAGAGCGTCCGCGTGACGGAGCGATGCGTCTCCCTGCAGATCGGACATCTTCGTGTTTCTGCTGAGCACGCGAGCGGGTGGCCTGGGCATCAATCTGACGGCCGCAGACACGGTACAAGCTTCCCCGGCGCTGGGGGGTGCACAGCGATCGCCCGGCGCGGAGGGCCTCAACGCTCTCTCTCTCGTGAATCGAACCGCGTCAGCATCTTGGCATTCTCCAGCCGTCTTCCTCTCGATTCCGGCGTAGGGATTAACCACGTCACCGGCGCGGTTATATGGCCTGGCGGTTGTTGCAGAGATTCACGGTTCTAATTTAGCAGCCACCCTGAATATTATTGTGGGTGTAATAACCATGATAATACTACACACCATCTACTTCACAGTGGATGATAAAGATCCCCTCGACATCAAGCGCAAGAGGAGGCCATAGTGTGCCAGCGGCGTCGGAGTTGAAATTTGCCAAATAACATATTTACCTGAAAATTGCTCAATTTTGATTACACAAAGCACACCCCTCACTCGCTACTGGCAGGCTAATGCCTGTTTGCAGGCCAGATGCTGAGTCACATTGCGCCTAAAGGGACAGTTGCCACTGGGGGGGTGCCTTTATGATTGTTTGAGATGAGTTATAATGTGCTGAGTCACGCCAGCTGATGTATATAAAAAAACAGCAATATCATTATTAATACATTGTCATTTATTGTCATATTTTAGATTTGTTGCCGTGTAGAACTATGATGCTTATGCAAATGCAATTATTGACTTTTGAAAGGGCATTGACTTGACTTTCAGAGGGCTATAAGATGTAGATTGAGAACATATTTTCGTTAATTTTGGAATGCCTCAAAAGGGGCCAGTCGGGCCAGCCTCAAAATCGGGGATGGCCTTGTGGATGAGAGATTGTGTTCAGAAGCAAATTGTGCATGGGGGATTCCCAGCCCATTCACTCCACAAGATCTCTCTGGCTGTCTCCTGGGCCTGGTGAGCAGAAGTTTATCTCCAGGCATTGGGCTGTGCGGTGTTGGAAACACTGCAAGTCCGTGAAGAATTATCACTTGGATGCCTTGACTTTTGAAGAAGCCAGATTGTGTCAGGGTGCACTATTGGGCAGTCGTTGCCCATGTGGGGGACATAGTTGTTTCCTCATGGTAGGGTTGCCTCCTCTCCCACAGACCAAACCCACACATTTCTCGTTCAGTCTGGGTCTATCATCAACACTGCGCAGTAAACACAATAACCTTACCAGATCTCGGTACGAATAAATTCCTACCACCCGAACAGATACCATTTTCCAGACCGACCAGGTCAAACCTGTACAGGTGGCAACTCTACCCTATATTTTGAGCAACTTGTGAATATTGGAACAACTAATAAGGCCGGGGGTGACTGCCCGCGTGCGCAGGTGATCTTCTACGACAGTGACTGGAACCCCACTGTGGACCAGCAGGCGATGGACCGAGCTCACCGCCTGGGCCAGACCAAGCAGGTGACGGTGTACCGCCTCATCTGCAAGGGCACCATCGAGGAGCGCATCCTGCAGCGCGCTAAGGAGAAGAGCGAGGTATCCGCCCGGCCCATCGCGCCCGACCCCCATTGCCCACGCTCGCTCGCTCTGCTGCCCTCAATGACTGCTGCCCTCGTGCCAGGCCGCTGAATGCTTGCAGCCAAAGCCATCTGGCATAAAGCCCGTTACTCCATAATGCTTCTGCGACGTTTCGTCCGGCCATTGTTGACAGCATAGAAGCGCCGTGGTGTAACCCAGTCGTTTCCAATCTGTCCTCCGTGAAACTCTCAGTTGGTGGAGCAATGTCAAATTGGTTAGCAATGTGCTCTAAACCCAGAAACTTGAGCACGATTCCCAGCCATAGCTAACATCACCATCGATATTTGAACCGGTCCTTGTTTCCTTCACTAACCCATACCGAAAGTGATGAAGTATGGTCAAACAACCCCCATAATTGACATGGCATGGGGAGGTCATCAGTCAGCAGTGGACTGACAAAATTTGTATTTTCTAATAGCTTATATCAGACCTAGACATGAGTTCCTTTTCATAAAATATCCAGAGTGACTCACAAAAATGATTGCACAGCCATTAAGAGCACTGGGCAAGGCTTGTGGGGAATGTTGTCTTTGTCAGACAGTGTGTTTGGTTCATATTCCATTTGTTGAGACATCAGCTTGCAGCAATTGCTTTTTTTGTGTAAACACTTATAATAAAAAAGTATAGTTCGCCACTACATAATGAACACAATTGATTATACTAGTCTAAAATAACGGATTAGTTTGCTGTATGTACCCAGGGATTCTCTTTCCCATCGTGCAGGGTTTCCCATGTTTGTCTCAATGCGGGCTTACCTCCCTGGCTCCAAATAAATGGCAGCTGTACACGTGGGATGTGCAGTTGCTATCCACCACGGGGAGCTTAGCACCCTCTGCGCTACGACGCTTTTGTTTGATTTACCATCGGTTTATGAACGTGTCTCTGCACTGTCCTCGTCTCGTGCGTTCTCGCCCGGCTCACAAACATTAAACTTGAAACGGGTGAACTTCTCCGCGTGCAGATCCAGAAGATGGTGATCTCGGGCAGCAACTTCAAGCCAGATGCGTTAAAGCCCAAGGAGGTGGTCTCCCTGCTCCTGGACGACGAAGAGCTTGAGAAAAAGCGTAAGAGCGAGAGGGACGGCATTGTTGAAGCCTCTTGCTGCCAGCACTCACCCTGACAGCGGCTGAGGGCAAATGGCTTTGCAAAATCACATCTTGGTGAAAGTAATTTAAGCGGCAGGCAGCGGCGGCTGTGTTTGCACGCCCTTGAGTGGAACACGGTAGAGGCAAAAACTAATTTCTTCCCCCCGCACCTCCGATTAGCACGGTTGGACGGTGCAAAAGAAGTTCAACACACATACATCAACAACGTACGAGGGTTGGTGGTTCACGTAAACTCGGTGAAGCTCCCTCCCTACCCGTGTAGTTTGAGTGCTAGCGGGTTCCTGGAAGCACCTGTCGTTGGTGCGATGGTTGTGCAGTGCGGATGCGTCAAGAAGAAAAGAAGCAGCAGGAGGAGGTGAGCCGCGCCAAGGAACGCAAGCGCAAGCGAGACAAGTACGCCGAGAAGCAGCAGGTGCGTGTCCGCACGTGCCCGTGTGTGTGCGTGCCTCGATGGCGTGGCAGGCATTGCGTGCCCACCACGCCTTGCCGCACACCTCCCCAGCAGCAGCAACAACAACGTGCTCGTTTTCTCTTGCTCTTTAAATGCAATATTTGCAACTCTCTTGTTCATGACTATCTGACTTGGATATTTACGTTCGATTTATGTGTTGTGTAGCGTTAACAGATTGAGTTTTTTTTTTTTGGGCACGATACATTTTTTACGTGGTTGCTCCAATTTGAGTGTAAACATTGCCCGGGCGAGGTGACAGTGCTGCTCCAAGATCCCTATCATACGCTCCATTGTTCAGATTTTTGTCGCTTCCAGGTGCCTTGAATCTGCCACCCGTTTCCTGCAGTCTCCTGCAGTCCCCACGGCCGTTGTGCATCATCCATCTCTGCTGCCTTCGGCACGAGACTCATTTTATTGCCCACTGTAGGCCCCACGCACACCTGGAAACTCAACTGGCATCTAACGAACTGCTTACCACCTGTGCTATTAAAAGTTAAAATCAGTTGTGCCTACATTTTCCGTTTGTTTTAGAAAGACATATTCCCTCCTTTGTGTTATATTTTAGTCTGTTTCTAGTTCAACATTTCTTCAAAGAATATTAGTCACGACACAACGCCCCATCCAGCGTGCTCCTCGGTGATTTGTGCAATCTTGATGCCTTTCTTATGCGCCGTCCTTAATTGATTTTCGTTTTGGGCCAAACTTACTAAATTTGATTTTGAGAACTGTTCTTCAACTCACCGGTGAACTGAAACAAAACCAAATTGGCGCATTGCACGCTTGTACACCGCACGACCATTTTATGTTTTTTGAATGTGTCGGGTGGTGGAGGTTCTTAGGAGACAGATTTTACCGGATGATTACGTGGCCTAACCCAAAAATAAATCATGAATCATCGTAATAGTGGCTGGTAAAGCGTACGTGCTAAGTTGCTTGTGTGTAGCTTGCATGTATTTTGTGCATTCATGCTGTGTTAACACTCTGTTGGTGCATTTTGCATTGCTGAGAAGCCATTACTCAGTTGTTACTGCAATGGTGCAAGGAACAACGATTGAGGATATTTGATATTTGCGCCATCCTTATGGCACAAGGCTATTGTGAAGATGGTATGGTTCACATACATAAGAGCATGACGTCATCACATAATGGCCTACAATTTTTTCGAATGATGTAATGGAATATTAACGTCCACTGTGAAGCAGGCGAAGGGTATTTCACGGTTAACGCGCCTGCAGTATTAACCGTGGGCAGCCTACCAGATTCGATTTACGAACCTCGGCAAAATGCGGCGAACGTGCCACGGCCGGGCCTCATCACCACCCTGCTTGGTGGTGGTGCGAGCAGGTCGGGGAAGGGTATGGCAAGCGGATGCGGCTGGAGATTGGGGTGGCGCCCCCCTCGCTCCCATCCGCCGACAACTCGAACACGTCAGCCGAGTGGGACGAGTGCTACGTGAGCGTCGACTCGGCGCAGCCCAGCCCCTACAGCGAGGTGAGCGGTGAGCCGCGGTGAGCCGCGGTGAGCCGATGAGCCACAGCCAGCCGATGAGTGGCGCCAGGCCGGGGCGACCACCGAAGGCTGGCGCGAGCTGCGTGCGTGCGTTCGATCTGCAAGAATAAACGACGAGCGTTATAGGTTTTATTTTGGCTTTGCAATTCTAAATGATTGGAATCAAAGATGCCATTGCAGCGATGTATGCGGAGTGTCCTTGCCATTGGCCACTAACGATTGCGTAACCAAAATGTAAATGAGCAAAGATTATTTTGCGAGCAATTATGTGGTTAAATAGAGGACTGCACCAATCCCAGCCAGGTAAGTTCAGTACTGATCTGTGGACCCCATCAGTAATTAGTTAATATCTCCGTTTGGCCTGAGGCGACTTGTAATAAAAGTCACCCAAATGTGAATATTTAATGCAGTTAATCAACAGCATGGTGAAATAATTCTTAGTCTGAGCAACCATTTTAAATTAAAAAAAAATTCAAATTAAAATTATATCAAATTCAACATTTCCAGATTTTTAACTCCCTACATTAATTAAACAAGCATTCAGTGTAATTTCGCTAGTAAATATACCAGCAGTTCGCACACACTCAGTGGCCCCCAGTTCGATTCCCGTTCACAGACAACATCGGTGGCAGATATCTGAACCGTTCATAGGTCTCCCCTAGGTCGACTGAGCCTTAAATTACTACCTGCTGCAATGTGTAAATATCGGATTGTGGAGACAAACGCGGCTGAGTGTGGTGCTGGCCACCCACCCCCTCTAGGTAGCCGCCAACAGCTTTTGTCCCAACAGCCTGTTAAAGGCTACACGGGAGATATCTGGACGTGATGCGCTTGCGTGTGTTTGCTTCAGATGTCCCTGGGCAGCGAGCTGCAGCCAGGCTCCATCCCTCCGGACGAGAGCAGCAACGACATGCTGGTGATCGTGGATGATGGCGCGCCGGCCAGCCACTGCAGCACGCCCACACGGAGCGTGGCGGCGGACCAGCCTCTTGGTGCGCGCGCAAGTCCCGCGCCTGCACCACACGCGGCCCGCGACACACGTGGCCTGCAACACACCCACCACGGCACACACTGCCCGTGCCACCGCACCTTCTGCGGCACACACGGCCCGTGCCACACTTACTGCGTCACACACGGCCCGTGCCACCGCACCTACTGTGCACATGGCCCGTGTCACACCTACTCCGTCACGCACAGCCCATGTCACCAGACCTACCGCGTCACACATGGCCAGTGCCACCACATCTACGTCACACACGGCCTGCACCACACCTACTGCGGCATACACGGCCCGCACCACATGCACCTGCCTCCTGTGCGGCCGCCATGACTGTCTTTCTGCTATGCTGAGCACATGGCTACAGCGTGGCAATGGGCAGCAAACACAGAAGGGAGTGGCCATGGAAGGAGAAACAAATGATTTACTATTACTGAACATTGACCTTGGGGATTTATGTCCTATGGATATATGCCACTATACGCTACTCTTGGTTGCATTTTAATATATAGGTTAGATGACTTAGGATTCCTACCAAATAATGGTTAATAATGTACGGATACCTGCCGTAAAACAGCATTTTAGTAGCTAATAACTTTTAATGAACATGAATTTGAATATATGTCATGCTTAATGACACGTGGCCGTATATTTTTGCTTTACAAAAACGGCGGAACAAAGCCGATGGTGAAGAACACGTCGGGTACATTTGTACTCGTGACGTGCGAGCTAAAATGTGAGAAGAGAATAGGCGTTAATCAATTATAGAAAAGTGACATTCACGACTGGTCGGTTTCACGTGCAAGTCAGGTAGGCCGGCATAATTATGATTCCCGGGATTCAGGGTAAATACCCAAGACTCATATCTTTGAAATGAGGGCAACTTAAGGCCCACTGAGCTATATAACTCTCTTTCAGGATCGACCTGGCCGCAAATGATAGCCCAACAAAGTGGCTTCTCATCACGTGGACATTTATAGCAGCCAAACACTCCAAATGCATGTTTATAAATGTGGAGGGAAAAACCGGAGGGGATAACATGCAAACTCCAAATATACAGGCGTCAGGGTCAGGATTGAACCCACTACCTCCTGAATACCAGGCGAGGGAAATAACATCTCGCAACCACGACAAATAAAATGAGCACCACTTTGTTGGGAAGTCAACATTGGTCGTCCTTGAGAGAAACCGGCCTTCTACCATGGTAATGTGGAATTTCCACCACTGGCTCAGGGCTGCCAAGGCTGATGAGTGCTCCCAGGTTATTCTTTCAAGTAGGCAGACATATACATTGCAACAGAGTGCTTGTTGCTCTAAATATATTTTTTCCCACTATAAAAAAGGATGTACTGATCTGACATTCCGCCGAATAGAAAGGATCTAATGCTCTTTAACGATCTTGTGCCTGCAAAGACAGCTGCCTTTATATGATATATTGTACTCTAGTCCTGTGAATCAAGATGCGTATTCATGTTTTCCTCGGGTTCCTTTCGTCTAGTTTAGTAATAGTTAAGTAGTTTGAGGTTGTCTTGGTTCATCCTGTGGTCGTTGGTGAGAGTCACGTGTTGCCTGTGCGGTGCTTTGGCGACCTCTTGTGCTGCAGAGAATGCGGGGAGAGGCCTCCCCAAGGGCCGAGGGCTGGCGCGGAGCCGCGGAGGCCGCTCTCGGCAGAGCGAGGCGCCGACCACCACCACCATCGCTGCCATCGGCGCCGCCTTCGCCGCCGCCACGGCAGGGCCCACCCGGGGCCGAGGCCGCAAATCGACGACGGGCAGCGCGGCGGCCATGGCAGGGGCCATGGCAGGGGCGGCGGCCGCCTCTGCGGCAGCTTACGCGGCATACGGCTACAGCGTGAGCAAGGATACCAACGGTATGTCCGCCCCATCTAATGCGACAGCCCCCCGCGGTTTCGATGGTACCTCTGTAAATGTCCATCTTTGGGCACCACACCATCGTGCAAGTGTCAACCTGACAGAGAATAAAGGGCATCACGGTGGCGAGATGTTAACTCCCTCGTCTGGTATGCAGGAGGTTGTGGTACCTGCTGTATATTTGGAGTTTGCGTGTCTCCCCATGGTCGTGTGGATTTTTTTCCGGGTCCTCCAATTTTCCCCTCCACATGTTGAAACACGCGTTTACAGTATTTGGCTGCTATTAATTTCCACAAGCCACCTTATTGAGCTATCATTTGTGGCCAAGTCACATCTGAAAAAGAGCTATATAGCTCAGTGGGCCTTACCTGGTAAAATAAAAAATTGAGTTTAGTTATAAATGAACAGACACATATGCTCTTAATTTCTGCACTTTGTGTGGTTATTATGATTGAATGAACCCGGTGAGATCCCATTTAAGAGTCTATCTCGTGCAGTATGTTTATGCGAGTGGCTGGGTGGCCGTACAGGTAATGTGATTGCCGACTGAGAGGCATTGGTTCTACTCTTCGTTCTCGTTGCTATGAATCGCTTAGCTTCCTAGAAGATTCCAAATAATACTGAAAAGCTTCGACATAGTACTTGAGCCCAGGTGGGTCTCTTCGCCCTATACCGATAAGACATCATCATTGTTGAGGGCCGCCACACATTTGAAACCATTGGGGTTTCACAGTACGATGATGGGGTGCTTTTACATTTGTGTATTGTTGGGAGCCGCACGTGAGGGGCCGCACTAAAGGCCACCGGGGGCCGCCAGTGTCCTACGGGCCTTGTAATGAAGAACATTGCCCTCTATATTTGGGGCCCAAACTCTGCCCCCAATGAAATGGACACCACCTTCTTAACTTGGTGGCGTTCATGACATTATTTACTTTTAAATGCCTTGTTATTGTTTAGGAAAATCTAACATCGTCTGCACATGCATCACAACTCCCCGGTTTACCCCGGCAAAGAGATAATGCATTTCAGTCCAAACCCCTTTTTTCTAAACAACATTGTTGCATTGAGAGTGTTTGTTCCCTGGACCACAATCGTGGCCGGTGTTCCTGTGCTGTGCGCTTGTTCTTTATGCCACGATGCACGAGCACTCAAGTGCACGTGTGGCACGGAGACAAAAGGATCTGTGTTGTGTTTGCGTGGACAGGAAGCCCCCGGCAGGCCCCTCTGGTTCCCCCACCCACCTCCGCGACCGGATTTGGTGGCTCCACATCTTCCCAAGGCACGACCGGCTTCAGCAACCCCTCCTCGCTGGCTGCTCTCGGGCGAGCCGCTGGCAAGCTACCTCCCACGATCCGCAAGTCTCTGCAACAGCAGCAGCAGCAGTTTTTGTCTCACGGAGGCCGCAGGCACGGAAAAAATCCTGCCAACACCTCTGCCAACCCGTAGAGAAAATACAAAACGTTTCGGTGCCAGACGAAGACCGTTCCAATAAAACGAGAACGCAGGTGGCGACAATGGGGGTCTGGGCAGCAGCAGTGCCATTGTTTGGTTTGTGATGAGTGTTGGCTGCAGCTGGCCCAGCTTTGGGGGGGCGGGGGCTGGAGCGGGAGGCGGGGGCTGGAGGCGGGAGGCGGGGGCTGGAGCGGGAGAGGTAACGCGCCGCCTTCTACTCATCCCGTTGTTCGGCAAGTGACCGACAAACTTTACTCCTGCCCTCTGCGACGGCTGCAAGAGGGGGCCCCGTGCGTAACGACGCAGAGGGGCTGACCACCTCTCACACCCCGACGACGGGAAGGTGGCACGTGAGCACCGAAGCCCCCACCCTGGTGCAACGGGGAACCCCTCCGCTGCTTCCCCCACCACTTGCAAAAGCTCGGCTGTTCGATCTCGGGTGGCAAACCGCACGGCCCACACATCCTGCAAGTTTGGCCGTTGGGCAATGTGACAGTCCCCACGTGTTCCCACTAAGAAACTGACAATACACAAACTGACCAACACGTACGTTCCTTTTTAAATACAACCCGTTGGTTTGTTGATTATGGCTGCTCCGTTTCGTTAACACACAGTAGTGTGCATGTGTTTTGGCGTGCGTGCACTCGCACTTGGTGATGTCGGGGAAGAGGGGCGCGCTGTACACGCCCCGGCTCGGCTCTGCGCTGGGTCTGCCGCTGGGAAGGTCCGTGTGCGTTACACGGAGTTACACGCGGATCATGCTTGGACGTCAAAGCAAAAAGGCTTTATTAAAATAACGTTCTCGCAGACACAGGGTTGAGGAAAGGCCCACATTTTGAAGGGCTTTATTTTTTTAGCTGTAATTACATATAATATAAATACAATTTGTAACAATGGGACAATTGTATAAAAAGCTTTGCCAGTGAGCCACTGATGCTTATAAAGTATGAAATAAATCTCTAATATTATTAGTAGTCTTTGTGCCTGACTTGTCCACAATAACGTGCCACTTGGGACGGTGCTTCTACGATGCTCCAGTTAGGTCGGGCGATGACACGCAGGAGACATGGTGCTTGGTCACATGATCTTGGAACCAACTGCCGACATAGTCACCCTACTCACATTCTACATAGTGAGGCTGTTTTGCATGGCTTTTGTCATCGATCAAGCAGTGTGCTTAGCCACCTGTTGATCTGAGTCACAACCCACTGCACAGGCACATCACTGCCTGCTTGTACATCACCGTAGTCGACCTGCAACAATGTTATTGACTCGCCCATATTGATGGTGATTGACCTCGAGAGCCCCCGCAAGATATGCCCAGCCTCGCTAGACAACAATGACTGGAATGCTCGGCCCATTGCAGGATCCTTCCCACGAGTGGAAGCCGCGTCCGTGAAGCGAGACTCTCCACACCTGTGGCTCTGCCCCTTCCCCTTTCAGAGCCCCCTGTGGGACCCCCTTGCGCTCGCTCCCGCCGTGCAGAACGCAGGCACGGGGGCAGTGCCCCCCCCCCCCCCCCTGATCAATTCCTTGAAGTGAAACTGCTTGCGCTGAAAAAAGGCCTGTTATTCAGTAAACCACTGCGGGGGTGATGCCCCCAATTGCTTCGTTGGTTCAGGCCCAAGATTGCCGGACCACACCGTGTCCAGTGAAATGTGTTGGCTCTGCAGGGAAAGCTGTGGGCCAGCAGACTAATAGATGTTTATAAATACTGTTCTCTGGTAACCGGTTGATTTAGGATACCACTTGTGGCTAGATGCCACGAGTTGATTGTCTTCCTGCTGCCAACCACTAATTTCCACCAACCACTACTTCTGCTAAGTGAACACTCAATAACCTGACTGCATTTACAAGTGTAGGCCATTGTGTGTTGGTAGCATAGACCAAATTTTTAAATCGGCAATTAACGATTGTTTTTAAAATCTTGCTTACACAATGCTTTCTTGTACATATAATTATCTGATGATTATATTGTCATGGATCACAGCTGACCACCCAGGGCGTTTTGAGTAATTGGATGCAGATGAAACTAGAGTAGGGTTGTCAAGCGCTAACTGGTTATTTGTCCAAGAGGCGTGAACTGGTAAACCGATTGCAGTAGAACTTTAATTGCCAATGCACTGATTTGGCAACGCTGTTGGTTCAACTGCCACTCCAGAAGATGGAATATAACCAAGACAGCTGTGGCAGCTGTCTTGGTTTCTCAGTTGAGAAGCTAAACACTTGACGATCATTGCTCGATACATTTCAATACATGTGGCAAACTGGTCATCGGTTCATATTCTTGGTTCTTTCGGTAAAATCACGTTGAAGGGAAACAAAATAATACAAAATATATAAAACAATAAAATTCTCACGACGTTTCGACTGTAACACAGTCATCATCTGATGATGACTGTGTTACAGTCGAAACGTGAGAATTTTATTGTTTTATATATTTTTTATTATTATTGTTTCCCTTCAACGTGACTTTACCGAAAGAACCAAGAATATGAATCACTGCAGTCACGAAAGCTTTAAATCAAAATGGTCATCGTTTATTTTCCTTGCTCTTACCGGTAACACAAAACAAACTTTTACCCGCTCAACGAGAGCACTGCACTGGTGCTTGTTCTATCTGCAGTGTCCAATTAAACAATCAGAGGCCACAATTACAAACTAGTAGCCTGGATTCTGACACGAAACTAATTGTCAAGTAAATAATTGAGCCCATACCAGTGTGGTGAAGTATGGTCAAACATTACACGGCGTGGTGGGGAGGGCCTCGCCGGACAGTGGATTGACACCACGGCCGTGTACTAATGTATCCGTTGGTAAACCTAATTTCCACTCGTAACCAGAGTAACACCGTGTACAGACACGTCACGGAGGACTGGTGGAGTGGTGAGCCACTGGTTGAGACGTATCACCCAGACGTACTGACGTGAAATGTTCATCAACCTACGTCATCGGCTGTCTCCCGTCTCCTTCCAAAACCCGCAGAACCTTGACGTGCACAATCTAGCTGTGGGGAGCTTTATGGGCGAGTGCAGCAGGGCAGTTTCCTGGCTGTGTTATATAAATGAGCAGCCCCCAGGGAGAACAGAACGCCTGCAGGAGGGACACGCTGATGAGCCCTGTTGAGGTTGAGGAGCTTCCCGTGTGCTATTGGTAATGTGCATGGAGGGGTGTGCACGCCGGGGTGAGTGCGTTACAAGTGTAGCGACAAATGGTATCACTACAGTGTAGCGACAGTGATACTGCACGCGGGGTGCCGTTTTATGGCACCAGAGTGTGTACTGCATTAAGGGGCTCACGAAGACGGCAGGGTCCGGTTATCACGGAGGTCGGGTCAGGACATGACCGGACGAGGGGGCACGGGGACCCCCAGAAGGGGGTGAGAGGGCCTCGTGGTAGAGACCGAGAGCCTCCACAAATGATCTAGAAAGGGGCGTGGCCAGGGGCAGAGCCTGGTCACACCGCAGCGGTTATAAGCCCATTCCGGAGAGGGAGCTGGGCGGTTCGACCCGGGAATGAAGCCGCCGCCTTCGATCCTCGTTCTTCAGTCTTCGCGCACGAGGACCAGGCAGCGTGTTAGCTGTCCTGGTCCCACCATATAGTGATCCCGTTCCAGTGGTTAGGAGCGGTGGCCACCACCCTATGTAGTTAACCCGAAATGTACAGAGTTAACTTCGGAGCGTTGCGCAGTTATGTTATGTTAGCTGGTTCGAGTTGTGTTAGTAAATAAACGTGTTTGCCTCCAGGACTCGGTGTGCACCTATTTAGAACCCACTACCCTGCAGAGGGCGCGCGGTGGCGAGATGTTAACTACCTCACCTGGTATACAGAAGCTCGTGGGTTCGATCCCGACCCTGACGCCTGTATATTTGGAGTTTGCATGCTCTCCCCGTGGTCGCGTGGATTTTTCTCCGGGTCCTTCGGTTTTCCCTTCCACATTTAGAAACATGCCTTTAGAGTATTTGGCTGCTATACATGTTCACATGATAAGCCACTTCCTTCGGCTATCATTTGTGGCCAGGTCGCTTCTGCAAAAGAGCTATATAGCTCAGCGGGCCTTACCTGGTAAAATATATATTTAAAAAATAAGAGCCCAAGCCAAATGTTGTAACATTGTTTTGTTGCATACAACAGCATAAAAAGGTAAAGTTGCAGCTCTGCAATTCCTCGCTCGCACCACTGCTGGCGGAAGAGCCTCCACTCTTCCACGCCGGCCAAACGTCTTGGATGCGGTACAAGCACTCGCGCTCGATGCTGGTCCGTCAGCATTACTAACGACCGTAGCCTGGTCAAAAGTGAGTTCAGAATTTCTAAGGTGGTGACGAATGCACGTTCCCATGGCAGGAACGAGTCTGTCTAGAGGACCCCTTCCAAAAACATGCAATCGGTTTCGTTAAACCCCCAACCCGAATTTCTTACTCGATCTTACAATGGTGAGTTGAGCACCCCGCCAACAGTACAATGGCTACAACAATAATGACGGTGGTACAAATGACCTGTTAGGCAGGACACGATGGTGGCCGGTGGACTTCTGCCCCGATGGATGGGGCAGCCGACGGAGGGAAGGCGCCGTGGAAATGGAGCCGTGTGCAGGCTCTGTGTGGATGAGTCTTGAGCCTGTTTATTATGGGGGGAGGGGGGGAGTCCTATTCAAGTTGTCGCAGCAGGGAGTGATATTGCTGCGTGTATGCCAATTGAGTCATTTTGTAGTAATTTTTAGCATTGGGGTGTTTGCTCAACACCGGTTACGTTGCACATTTAGCTGGCCGGTGATGAATGTCCGATGTCTCCTTCCAGGTTGCTCCATGGGACGTGTGACCGCTGTTTGTAAAGGCGTTCAAAATGGGGAAGGAAAAAAATCGCACTCGTGCCAATTAATGGCAGCAACACAGCTGGGAGTACACCCCAACTGACGACAAATGCAAACGCTGAAGAGTGTTTGATTTTAATGCGTGAATCGTCAACAGCTCATGATGTTCCTTTCAACGACCGAGCATTAGGATTGCGGGACAGACGAGAGCCTTAAAACGAATATTGTGATTTTCTAATTGCCTAGCTCACTGCTTTAAAAAAAAATGACATGCTGAACGATGCCGGTGGCGATGTTGTCGCATTGTGGAGCAGTATCGCGCAATCAACGCCGCGTCGGCGAGCGCCACACTAGCAAAGCAGCGGGCGTATTGTGGGACCCGTGGTGCCGCGCCGATTATATTGGCTAATCTGGGTGGGCAATATTATCATTTGCATAATAAAACAATCCAGCCGAGCGCACGGGGCGAGGCGGAGGCGGCAGCAGCCTTCTGTAATCGTGACTGCGGAGCCCACAGCTCACAATTATTCTGGTGGGGGGAGGGGGGGGCTTTGGTGTGCAGGACGTGACGGGAGGGCATCTCCGAGCTGTCGAGGCCGCGGTGGGAGGGCCCCCATCAGCTCCCGATGGCCCCGACCCACCGACCACCACCATCACCACTTTCACCAGCCCGAGCAGCGCTCCTCGCCAATCGCACGCACGCACGGCGGCGTGCCACGGCGACAGGGTTCCCCTTCATGTGTACAACTCGAGGGTGAAAGGGATCCCGGCTATTGAGATTTGGTGCGGCGTCTTGTTGGAATAGCAATGAACCAAACATAAAATGATTAGATGTTAATTTAGCCGGGTGAGAGCCATTAGCGACGTTATCAGGCAGGCGGTGCTCTGGGCGGCAAGGGTGGTTAATTACAGCAGCTCATGTCATTCTATAATTGACTTTAATCACAGCAGCTCAATGTCATTCTATAATTTACTTTTTGGTTCTTTCGGTAAAGTCACCTAGAAATCAAATAAATTAAATAGAACACGACGTTTCGATTGCAACACAAGCAATCATCATCGGGTACGAAGGAATGAGAAAAAAAACCTAGTAGTTTAATTGAGGGCGATGGTGTACTAATGCGATGTTTTCTTTCGCATCACTCACGCGGCGGCTTCAAG